TCAAATTGGTAATCGAATCGAGTCGCAAGCTTGTGAATGAGAATCAAATCGAATCGTGAAATTTGTGTCAAAACCCAGCCCTACAATTTATTATGGTATGCTTACATTGATCACCCCTTACTGCAAATGTATAACAAATGTGCTTGTGTTGGCATAGACAGGTAGACTGTCTGGAGTTCAGGAAGCTCTTTTTACAAAAAAAAACACCTAAGCGTCTGTCTGATTCTGCACAAATCATCTCCGATACAGATGTGTGCAGAATGTTCTGCCCATGATGTGTAAGTGAGTGGCCATTGGCCCATCCTCTTCATGTGGCTTTGCTTTTCTCTGCTGTTTCTGGAGTGTGTTCTCTCACACACACACACACACACACACACAGGTGCTGATGGCAGGCAGAGAGAGTGCAGGGCCCAATGCAAGCCTTATTCAGCGCACAAACATTCACTGACCTCATTCAGAAAAAAAAAAAAAACTATTAACTGAAAATTATTATGAGTGATTGACTCAGAGCCTTCATATCCTAAATGTATTTTTACTGAATTTAACGTGGATGAAACGGAAACCAAAATTGACAAATATATTACAATTTTACAGAATATAATTAAAAAAATTTTTATTAAATTTTTTTTTTTATTAAAGCATCATTTTGAGGAATATTGCACCATTTCTCAGCCATACTTTAATATAAGCTGTAAACTACACAGTTTGTGCCGCACTTTATTTGAAAAAGAAAAAATTAAAGGAATTGTTCAAATTTCATTTGATTACATTTTAAAATGTTTCATGCATTTATTTTGTTACTACAATTTTTGATAATAATTTTGTATTAAGTCATAAAACACAGTCCAGGTAAATTAAAATGGCATTATTTACATTTTAATAAATATTATAAAATAATTTTCAAAAAGCAACGATAACAACAAAAATACTAATACTACTACTGTTATTATTATTATTATTATTATTATTGCTTTGTTTTAATATTGTAAGAAAAAATATAATAATGCTATGTATGATGTTTTATTAGTATATGTAATATACTAATAAAATATAAATAATATTACTAAAATAATAAAGAAACTCAAATAACTCAGCTAAAATAATACAATTGATTAGTCATCATTTTGTTATAAAAATTTTATTAAACCATTAAAAATGAATTCAGAAAACAATAAAACCAAAAACAGAGTTTGGTTTAGATAGATAGACAGATAGACAGATAGATAGATAGATAGATAGATAGATAGATAGATAGATAGATAGATAGATAGATATAGATATAGATACACAGATAGATAGATAGACAGACAGACAGACAGACAGACAGACAGACAGATAGATAGATACACAGATAGATAGATATATAGACAGACAGACAGATAGATAAATAAATAAATATAGATACATAGATAGACAGACAGACAGACAGATAGATAGATATAGATACACAGATAGATAGATAGATAGATAGATAGATAGATAGATAGATAGATAGATAGATAGATAGATAGATAGATAGATAGATAGATAGATAGATAGATAGATAGATAGATAGATAGATAGATAGATAGATAGATAGATAGATAGATAGATAGATAGATAGATAGATAGATAGATAGATAGATAGATAGATAGATAGATAGATAGATAGATAGATAGATAGATAGATAGATAGATAGATAGATAGATAGATAGATAGATAGATAGATAGATAGATAGATAGATAGATAGATAGATAGATAGATAGATAGATAGATAGATAGATAGATAGATAGATAGATAGATAGATAGATAGATAGATAGATAGATAGATAGATAGATAGATAGATAGATAGATAGATAGATAGATAGATAGATAGATAGATAGATAGATAGATAGATAGATAGATAGATAGATAGATAGATAGATAGATAGATAGATAGATAGATAGATAGATAGATAGATAGATAGATAGATAGATAGATAGATAGATAGATAGATAGATAGATAGATAGATAGATAGATAGATAGATAGATAGATAGATAGATAGATAGATAGATAGATAGATAGATAGATAGATAGATAGATAGATAGATAGATAGATAGATAGATAGATAGATAGATAGATAGATAGATAAACAGACAGATAGAGATATAGATACACAGATAGATAGACAGATAGATAGTAGTAGCTATATATATATATATATATATATATTTGATGTTTTATTAGCATATGTAATATACTAATAAAATATTAATTATATTACTTAAATAATACAATAACTCAGCTGAAATAATTCAATTGATTAGACATCATTTCCTTTTGTTATTTAAATGTAATTAAACCATTAAAAAAAAAAATTCAGAAAAAAAACCAGCTTGGTTTTAAATCTCATTTCATAGGGTCCTAAACAGTTTTGCACATGCTTGAAATATGTTCTTGACATGGCTGTGTGAAAGCTGTGTTTGTTGGAAGCAGCTCTTTCCTGAATGTGAGGAAGTGCTGGGCTGTTCAGATCAGACCCCTACCGAACACTCGAGCCCCTCTTCACAAAATACAGAGGGTGGGTCACAGCAAGAGAGGAAATGACTCAATCCCATTGAAAACTCTAACGTTACCACACGTTCTGCCATGAGTGTGCACATTTTTTCAATAAGACACATTAATATTAAAGCATATGTGTCCAGCTTCTCTGAGACCGGCAGCACAGTTCTCTGCTTTCCTTTCCTTTTTTCATCCATCTTCCACCTCTCTCTCCCACACAGCTCCATCTTTTATTAATCAGTCTTTCCTCTGCACCCCAGAGTGCTCCATACGTCTCACGGTCGAGACTCCTTTGAGATTCAAGTGGCTCTTCCGCATAAAAGACGCCGCTTCAAAAGACTGAAAACACAACGCAGCGGCCGTTTCTGAGCCAGGTTTCACTGTCACGGGTTTATTAGATTTCTCAAATCTCAGCGCACATGATGCAGCTGACACCCGAACACTGCAGTTAGAAATAATGATGGTGTGCTTTAGGATCGGCTGTTTCGGGTTTAGAGGCTGTGAACTCGGGGTTCCTAGTTTCCTGGTCGGGGTGTGTGCCGTTGCTCTTTCCTCTGATGACATCGTGTGTGTGTGTGTGTGTGTGTGTGTGTGTGTGTGTGTGTGTGTGTGTGTGTGTGTGTGTGTGTGTGTGTGTGTGTGTGTACACACAAAA